TAGCTACAGCCCCCTATGCCTCCCCAGCACCGCCCCTGCTCAGGGCACTCCATTCTGCTGCCTTTCTCTTGGGAGCATATGTGCCTTGAGCAGGAGTAGTGCTGGGGAAGGCTTGGGGGTCTATAGCCATCCCTTCCAACGCCGCTGCCTGCCCCGTGCAGCTGAGCCAGCCCTGCCTCCGTCTGCCCCGAGTGCAGCCCCCACACCGGGAAGAGGCTGGTGCAGCCCCTGGCCTAGAGCCTGCAGTGAGCAGCCCGCCTTTGCCCTGCACACAAAGGGGCACATGCCCCCTATGCCTCCCCCTAAGATAAGTGCAGTGGCGGGGAGCCACCCCCACTCCACCGCGACCCCTGGATGAGCCACCCACAACTCCGTCCCGCGTCCTGCCCTGGCGTCTCATTCACTTCCCTGTCTGGGCAGTGCCTGCCCCAGCCCCACTCCCTCCCTCCCTCACCATGGGGGTCTTGATCTGGTTCCCCCCCCCGACTTACTGGCAGGATGCTGCTCTCCAAGGTGCCCGGCTGCATTCCTGGCCGCATGCATGCTGCAGATAGGCGCATGCGTGCAGCATTTATCGGTGACATTATCAGCCATGAGATGGTTTAACTGACAAGATCTGAAGCTCTGTACACTTCAAGGCCAAAGGGGACTACTAGGATCATCTAGTTTGTACAAACAAGGTGCTGTGGAGGAGAGCTGGTTGTGTTTTAAAGAAACTTTACTGAGGGCGCAGGAACAAACCATCCCGATGTGCAAGACGACTAGCAAGTATGGCAGAAGACCAGCTTGGCTTAGCAGGGAATTTTTCAATGAGTTAAAACAAAAAAAGGAAGCTTACAAGTAGAAACTAGGACAAACGACTAGGGAGGAGTATAAGAGCATTGCTTGGGCATGCAGGGATGAAATCAGGAAGGCCAAAGTGCAAGTGGAGTTGCAGCTAGCAAGGAATGTGAAGGCTAACAAGAAGAGTTTCTACAAGTTTGTCAGCAACAAGAGGAAAATCAGGGGAAGTGTGGGTCCCTTACTGAATGGGGGAGGCAATGCACTGATGGGTGATACAGAAAAGGCTGAAGTGCTCAATGTCTTTTTCACCTCCATCTTCACAGGCAAGGTCAGCTCTCAGACTGCTGCACCATGCAGCATGAGCATTCAATAGTGGTGAAAGAACAGGTTAGGGACTGTTTAGAAAAGCTGGAAGTGTACAAGTCCATGGGGTCAGATGTGATGCACCCAAGGGTGTTGAGGGAGTTGGCTGCAGAGCCGCTGGCCATTATCTTTGAAAACTCATTCCTTGAGAAAGCAGGTTCTCAAGGAATCTGTCTCGAAGCACTTGGAAGAAGAGGTGATTAGGAGCAATCAGCATGGATTCACTAAGGCAAGTCATGCCTAACCAACCTGATTGCCTTCTGTGATGAGATGCCTGGTTTGGTGGATGTGGGGAGAGCAGTGGACATGATATATACCTTGAGTTTAGCAAGGTTTTTGATGCTGTCTCCCACAACGTTCTTGCAAACAAGCTAAGAAAGTCCGGGTTGGATGAACAGATTATGTGGTGGACAGAAAACTGGCTGGATCATCAGGCTCAGAGGGTAGTAATCAATGGCTTAATATCTAGCTGGCAGCCAGTATCAAATGCAGTGCCCCAGGAGTCAGTCCTGAGGCCAGTTTTGTTCAATATCTTCAGCAATCTGGAAGACAGCATAGAGCGCACCCTCAGCAAGCTTGCAGATGATACCAAGCTGCGGGGAGTAGCAGATACACTGGAGCATAGAGCTAGGATTCAGAGAGACTTAGACAACTTGGAGGGTTGGACGAAAAGAAATCTCGTGAGGTTCAGCAAGGGCAAGTGTAGGGTCCTGCACTTGGGATGGAAGAATCCCGTGCACTGGGACAGGCTGGGGACCAACTGGCTAAGCAGCCCCTCTGCAGAAAAGGCCTGGGGGTTACAGTAGATAATAAGCTGAATATGAGCCAGCAGTGCGCCCTTGTTGCCAAGAAGGCTAATGCCATACTGGGCAGCATTAGTAGGAGTGTTGCCCCCCCGATGGAGGGAAGTGATTATTTGTCTCTATTCAGCACTTGGGAGGCCACATCTGCAGTACTGAGTCCAGTTTGGTCCCCCCAGTACAGAAGGGATGTGGACAAATTGGAGAGAGTCCAAAGGAGAGCAGCAAAAAAGGTTTGGGGGCTAGGGGACATGACTTATGAAGGAAGACTGGGGGGAACTGGGCTTATTTAGTCTGGAGAAGAAAGAATGGAAAAGGGATTTAATAGCAGGCCTCAACTCCCTGCAGGGGGGCTGCAAAGAGGATGGAGCTGGGCTGTTCTCAGTGGTGGCAGATGACAGATCAAGGAGCAATGGGCTCACGTTGCAGGAAGGGAAGTTTAGGTTGGATATTAGGAAAACATTTTGCACTAGGAGGGTGGTAAAACACTGGGCAGGTTACCCAGAGAGGTGGTGCAGTCTCCATCCTTGGAGGTTTCCAAGACCCGGCTAGACAAAGGTTTGGCTGGGATGACCTAGTTGGGGATGGCCCTGCTTTGAGAATGGGGTTGGGCTAGGTGTGACCTCACTTTCTATGATTCTTTGATTTTAAAGAAAGTAACAGAAAAACGGTGCACAGTGACACATTTTGGCTTTTACATTCGGATGCCTGCTTAGCTTAGAGGCAAGCCAAAGTGAAGAATTTCTCCACAGAAACCTGAAATGTTTCTTGTGGCCCAGAACTTGGTGTACTTTGCATTTTTAAAGTCATTTACAAAGTCATATGACTGTGCATAACCCCAGGAAAACACAATTGAAGCCAGCTTGGGACTGGACATCATAGGAGATGCAGACATTTTACCCGTAAGAAAAGGTGTAGGTATGAGGTGCTTGATCTACTACACCTGTAAGACCATAGCAGATATTAATGTTGATTCAAACTCCATGTTTAGTTTAGATTTTCAAACTAGAAAATAAGAAAACCATTTACAACTGTGGGGAAAATGTAGATTTTTGTGGAAACCGCACTTCTTAATTGTGGGGGAGGGAATCCATTTTGATGGAAAATCCCCAAACGGGTCGAGTTTTCCCATCTTCCATCCTACCTATCATTCTTTGTTTTTTAAAGCCTCATATACATCTATTGAGCTACATTAATACTAACTGCATGCTGTCTTCCATCATGTTTTGCTCGTTTACTCCTCATTTGTGTCTCATTCACCTGCTTGTGCTCAATAATAATGCCTGACAATTTAAAGCTATTTCCCAGCATTGTTGCCAAAATCTGGAAAATGTATAAGAACAGTGCTGGTTTTGTCTTCACTTTCTGAATATCACTTGCTTGTGGCTCTTCATGGCTGATCCACAGTTATTAGTTAGCATCCATAAAACAAGCACGACACTGTTTCTTGGCCATGCCAAGCGGAACTATTAGTACACATGGATGTTATGTACCTCAGCACAGCAGAGACTAATACATGAGACACGGCTGCATGGACCACCTCTTGTCCTGTCTACAGAATACCTGAGCAGCTCCTCCAGTTGTTATGTGGAAGCTGATCCTCTTTTAAACTTTGTTTTCATGTGGTTTAGGAACTGGAATTTAAGAAGGAGTAGCTGGCACCAGTAGCAAGTGTCCTTCTTGTTAGACCACAGTTTGGGATCAGCTATACTATCCCATCTCTTCTGTCCAGGTTTTTCTAGTGTGGCCATCACCATGCGCTTTCCAGCCGGGCTCTAAACAACGTGCCTTGTACCCGTTGTTCTGGGAGGGGGGTTACCTTCTTGCTTCCTCTAGAGAGAAAGTTGGGTGTCGATTATTTTGCAGCTGGAAGGTGTGCTATGTGATTATATTCATAAACAAATGCAAGATTGATATTGTGCAGCTAGAACATGGTGCAGAAGTGCTGAATTGGCCGGTTTTCGCATCCTGTGGGTCTCTTGTTTCACATCACTGAAACAACCCATGGGAAATTACTTTTCTCCTAGACAGTCTACTGGTCCCGCCTACATCTGCACAGCAAGGGGTATTTAAACTGGGTGCGTCCTTTGTGATGTTGAAATATCATGATGTTTAGCAGCTTGTAAAAAAAAAAAAAATTTTTTTTAAATCACCTTTTCTCACTCTGATACAAATGAAAGCCAGCGCGACGACAGCTGGAAATTATTGTGGTTAGTCATTTCTTTGGAGAGCTCTATTTTCAGAATGTCTGTTTTGCAAGGATTATCAACACACACGTGGTGTGAAACTTGTTGTTAAATCAGCAAGGATAAAATTAGTAGTGGACTTTTTTATTTATAGGCCCCGTGTGACAGGCTGACTTGAAGTTCAGTCATTCTCATCAGGAATTCTGCAGTACATTAGGTGATGAACTGATGTGAACTCTCAAGGAAATGCTCCAAGAATATGAAACTAGCTCAGCTCGCAGTGTGTTGACTTTTGTCCTGGTCCCCACCAAGGACTGAACCGGGGCGTTCCAGAGCTAATCTTTAGCCAGCACTAAATGACAGCACACCCTGGCTGGCAAGAGGTGGTTACTGCAATAAGTCTGCAGTCTGGCAGAATATAGGGCAGGGTGACACCTTGGAGACTAACTGGTTCAGTTCCTTCATAGGCAGCAACCTACTTGGTCAGATGCTAAAAGGTAGTTGCTTACAAAAACTCATGCTTTTCTGAACCAGTTAGCCTCTAATGCAGGGGTGGGCAAAATACGGCCCGCGGGCCAGATCCAGCCCACCAGCTGCTTGGATCTGTCCATGGGCAAGTGCCTGCCAATTGATTGTATGCAGCCCTCTGTGCTCTGCATGGGGCTGACCCCTACCCACTCCCACCCTGGGCACCCCATGCCATGCTCCTGCCCGCCGGCCCTGGCCAGTGCACACGGATTCCTGGTGGGGCTGTTCCCGGTGCAGCTGCATCTATTGGATGATTTTAGCAAGTAAAAGCCCGGTGGAGGAAGTCGTCTTATCCCGAAGAACAACCTTGTGATCTCTCTGTTTCTTTCATCTCTTTCAGGTGGATTTAGAGCCAGAGGGGAAAGTGTTTGTGGTAATAACCCTAACAGGAAGCTTCACTGAAGGTAAGGTAAAGGAAATATTTTGGCGGCTTTCCAAAGACGTTTTAAAAAACTCTCTTTACTCAAATGAAGCTGTCGCTCACTAGCCTGCTGTAAATATCATGAATAGTAGTCTTCTTTCTGTAACTCTCGCTTCCTGCTGCGCTCTGAACATTTTTTAAGTGATAAGGGTACTTTTGGAGAGACTCCTGTTAACTGCATAGCATATTCTGAAGTCCATATTGTCTTATATCCTTCTAACTCTGGACCCAGCGAGGTGGTTCATGCCTGATATAGTTATTCTTCCAGGTTATTCTTCACCTGGATTGTTTCATTCACTTCCAATTTCCAATTGGGTACCTTCTGCAGGACAGCGCATGGGGTGTCAGGCACTCGCATTTCTTCTGCACCATCCTCATTTCACAATTATACCCTTCTGCTTGCAAGTGCTTCGCAACATAGCCCTGGAAATTTATAAATCTACGAGCACGATATTTATTTGTCCTTTCCCATCTGATATGAATTGACACCCATGACTGCCCCTTTTGTGTAATGTTTTCAACTGTCCCACTGTTCATTGTGATAACAATGAAAAACCTGCTCAGGTATGGATGTGAGCACAGGTGACTGAGCTGAACAAATATTGAAGTCTGGAATGGCCAACTGGAAAGGATAAAACACCTTTTGAGCATGCTCCAAGTCCCCAATTCAGCCACCCATCTGTATTCATTTAGACTGCTGTATCTAAATAAGCATGTGCTTAAGTCCCAGCAATCTTGATAGGATAAATACGTGAAGGTCCTGGGGCTGATCTCGTATACATTATGCCCATAACCATGTCAGATATAATATTCATAATTACTGTACAGTGATAGTGTGTTATTGGGTTGTTTGCTCTGTGCCTGTCTTGTTCAATAGCAGATCTGTTTTGAGACCAGCAGGAAAGCAGTACAGTGGTTCCAGATGGTAACGTCCTGGTAAACAGGTTGGGAGTCGTTAAGGGATACAGCTGGAACTATGAGCATGGCAGATGCTACTTCTAGGTGCCCATCAGGTTACAAGACTTGTTTTTGACAACATTGTTTTTTGCCAGCTTGATTGGTAGATGACCAGTTGAAATGGCTGAATGTCAAAAACCCTTTTTGTCCAGAGGCTGGGGGCAGTTATTAGGGAACTGTTCAGAGGAAAAGGGGTAAACAGACACCTGGTTGAATGCCATAAGACAGGGGTGGCTAACCTGCAGCACATATGACATAAGTGATATGGGCAGCCTCTGTGGGTGGCACATGGCAGACTGGGGTGGGGACAGGCAGTGCAGTGGCAGATAGAGTAGGAATCAGAAATGGGACCAGCAGATTGGGGAGGGACCACAGAGCAGGAAGCAGATAGGAGAGCAGCTGATCAGGCAGGGGAAGGGAATAAGAGTGGCACTTGGGGAGGGTGCAGGCCTGATTTTTGGCACACCTGCCAAACAAATTGGCCACCACTGTCTTAAGAAGTTACAGCTTCCTGTAGGGATGTGCCGATAGAGATTTTGGAAGCCGATACCAATAGCTGATTTTTAAGGAGGCGTATTGGCTGATACCGATCTGATTTCCGATACATAGCCCGGCAGCTTGGAGAGCTGTGTGCAGCAGGTAAGTCTGTTGTGGTGGAAGGGGAGGGGGGAGGGAAGGGGCATGAGGGGGCAAATGAAGGCCCCTGTGGTGAGGGAGGAGTGGGGCTGGGGCAGGCACTGCCCAGCTGGTTGAGGCGTGGGATGGGGCTGTGGCTCATCTGGGGAGCAGGGAGGGGAGGGCAGCTCCCACCACTGTGCACACCCCAGGAGGGCATGGGGGGCTTGTGCCCCCGGATCTGGGCAGGGCGGGCTGCAGCTATGGGCTGGGTGGTTGTTGGGGTGAGGCTGTGCTCGGGGTAGGCGGTAGCAACGCTGGGAGTGGGGCTACGGGAGTGCTGCAGCCTCCCCAAAATTTGCCGTAGGCCTCCCCACCTGTAGCCCCCTTCCAGCACTGCCACCACCTGCCCCAAGTGTGGTCCTGGCCCAACCCCCCCACCTTCCCAAGCATGAGAAAGAGCCTGGTGCTGCCTCAGCCCCAGCCCCAGCCTGCAAATACAGCCCAGCCCACCCTGCGCAGATCCGTGGGCACACACCCATGCCCTCCTGGGGTGCGCAGAGGCAGGAGCTGCCCCCCACCCCCCGGATGAGCCACGGCTCCATCCTGTGCCTCACCCTGGCATGGCTGGGCAGTGCCTGCCCCAGCCTCAGCCCCATCCCCACTCCCTCCCTCGCCACAGGGGCCTTGATCTGCCCCGCCATGCCCCTTCCCTTCCCCTCGCCTCCCTCCTCCCCTTCCACCACACCAGACTTCCCAGCTGCACACAGCTCTCCAAGCTGCCAGGTTGTGCTCCTCGCCGCGTACGTGCTGTGCTGCAGCTGCACATATGCACAGGGCATTTATCAGCCAAATTATTGGGCACATTGAGCTGATTTACGATACAGTAAATTTTCTTTATATTGGTGCCGATCCGATATCGAACAGGTGTATCGGTCCCCCTCTCCCTTCCTGAGACTCTAGGGGGCTGCTAAGCTTTAAGATGGACGTGTGTCTAGCCTTTCTATCACTGTAACGCCCCGTTTCTCTTATATTTTAAGAAGTTTGCCACATCTCCTTTATTAACCAGAAGTGATAAGGTCCTGGGGGAAAGAGTTGTGGGTGCTGAGCCTAGGCAGGCAGAGTGGGTGAGCACCCTGAACCACACAGTGCTGTATCCTGGGGCTGAGCAAAAATGCTGAACAATCATGGGATGACATGAGGCCTGGCAACACAGGGTTGCCCTCAAAGAGACTAGCCATGGGTCAGAGGTATGCAACTAGGTCTTTAGCTTTAGGAAAAATTAGGCATGTTCCTAAATACCTTTTTGTATAGGGATGGACACAAATGTGCATATTACATTTTTTGCTGAATTGGGACTTAAAACATTTCTAGCACTGGGATGAAGATGTGCTAGCACTGTTACAAATAACTTATCAGGTGCAGTTGGAGGCTGCTGGGATTTTGGACCGAAATGCATATTTTCTCGAAAATATTCAGCTTTACTGTAAGTGTATATTTTTATTCTTGACTACGCAACAGGACAGTCTCTAGCTACTATATCATGTTACAGCTGTTGCTCAGTCCTTCTATTGTTATGTCTGTCCACACCCTGTCCTGCAACAATCGTGAACTGGTTCCCCACCACTGACATTTTGAAACGGTTCAGTTGTTCTGTCTGTCCGTACCCACAGTTGGAGGTGGAAAACTGGTTTCAGTTATAACCCTTCTCTCCTCCTGAGAACTTCTTTTGGGGAGAAGCTTTCCCTGCTTGGCCTAAACCTCAAGTTAAAGATTTTTATATTTTTTTTTAAATGAACAAATTGACCTGGGTTCGAATGTGCGAGATAACAGTAAATCACGTTCTGTTTACAGCAGCAATTCTGCTTCTTGGGCTGAACTTCTGTCAGGTCCTGAGCACCTTTTTGCTAGGTCAGGGGTCAGCAACACCCAGCATACATGCCAGTGTGGCATTCGAAAGTATTTTGCTTGGCCTGGGCACCCCGGGGCGGACGGCGAGGAAGGGGCTGGGGCTGCAGTGCCACAATAAGGATCGGGCTCCTCACAGCTCCCCCACTGTCTGCCCGGAGGCGTGCATGCACCTGACTCTGGATGGACAGTGGGGAAGGGGTTAGGGCTGCTAACCCCTGCCGTCTGCCCCTGGCATGCCAACATCTTACAAGTCAAAGTTGAGGTGTTTTTGTCACTCTGCCCAAAAATGTTGCTGACCCCGGTGGAACACGCTGCCCGCTTGGAGCCTTGGGTGTGGGTTTGAAAGTCCACATCCCAGTTCTCAGTGGGAGCATTTACACTTGGCTGACATTTACTTTTCATAGTCTGGGTCATTGCTTCTTCACACACTGCATCTTGTGTGTTCTTTTCTTCCTGATACCAGGGTTTGCAGCCTGGAGCAGATCTAGATTCAGAGCAGTGTTTCAAGCTCCCTATTCACTTAGATCCAGGTTCCTGTTCCCCAGGCCTTCTGATGCCATGTGTAGTATTATTACCTTGTGTAGCAGGAGGCACTGGTGCTCCTGCTAGCAATGACTGAGAAGCAGCCTGCAAGTGTGCCAGGGGGCAGTTAGGAGTCACGTGGCCTACACTGCCTATTGGGATATAAGCCGAGAGATGGAGCTGGGCAGGCAGTCTAGCCCTGAGAGCCAAGGAGAGAGGAGCTCCTGGGCAGCAGGGCTCCCGGGTAACATCTGAGCTGGGGTAAGGCAACACTGGTGGTTTGTGGAAGGGACTCAGGAGAGGTAAGGAGGGCTCAGAGGGAGAACGGGGCTGGAGGGCCAGGAGAGCAGGTAGGGCCAGGGTGCTTATAGGTCTTACTGGCCTAGGTGCTGGGCCAGGACTCAGAAAGAGCCACGGCTGGAGACTGGCAGGGCTGGAGAGCCCATGGGTCTCAGCTGGCTTAGGATCAGGGCCAGGATCTAAGGAGAAGGACTGAAAGCCAGGAGGACCACACCTGGAGATTGAGGGAACCAGAGTGCCCATAGCTCAGAGAGGGGCTGGTGTAAGGATGAACAGAGCCAGGAGCCCATAGGGGCAGCTATGATTTGAGAAAGACGCATGACATCAGCAAGGCATGGGCACAGGCCTTGGGCAGGATGGAGCCCACGCAGTTAGCCCTTAAGGCAATGAGCACAGACTCTTGCATTCACGAGCGTGCGACGAGGGTTGGGGAGCCCTGGGGCAGCCCCCCCTTTTAAAAAAGGTAAAATTACATCACGGTGTGGCGGATGAGGGGAAGAAGGGGAGATTACCCAAAAAGAGCAAAGTTGAGAAGGGCTGAAGGGGGCACCAGGGGCATCGTGGCCATCCCTGGAGTGGGATCCTGTTACAGCTTGTTATGTGTTGTGCTCAATTCCATTTTTTGCCCCTGTGCCAGGCTGCGCTGGATGAAATACCCCCAGGATTAGACGTGAGGTG